CCCGCAGGCCGGGCTGGCTCTGCCCCCCTCAGGGGCTGCTCCGGGTGCACCTCGTGCCCCGGCGGCCGTGCCTCGTGGGTGTTCGGTGCCGGCGCTTTCTAAACATCCTCCCAGTTCCCAGAAGGGGCGCGGGGAATCAAAGTGAGGATTCAACAGGTGGGAAATTGCCTCGAGCTCCCAGCCGACCTGGTTTTCAATGTCGTATGCAGGCACGGGAATCGTTCGGGATGAAGACTTCGTTGTGGTGCTGTGGCCTACAGCATGCTGCAACTTGTGACTAACAGAGTTTTAGTGCTACCTTGTGGTTATAGGTCACGGACTGTGTTCCAGAACTCATGCAGAATCCCAGAATAGCTTGAGTTGGAAGGGAGCTTAAGGATCATCTTGTTCCAACCATGCTGCCTTGGGCAGGGACACAGTATCTCGCTCTTGTGCTGCTTTCAATAAATTCTGAAGGTTTTAAGGGCTGGATTTGATGCTTATCTTCCAGGAATTTTCTAGTTAATGTATTAAGTCCCACAAACCAAGGAGAAATTCACATAACAGTTGTTTCAGTGTGTGCAAAATGTTATGACCATATAATTTTGTGGGCAGTCCTGTCTCATCTAGCAGACATGTTTTTAAAACTTTACCTGAATTGACAGAAACTTCAGTTAGGAGGATGGAAGGAAGGATCAGCTGTGAATTATCTAGAGGAAATGAAATGAAGCTTAGGGTAAGAGGTAGTTTTCTAGCCGATTTCTAGCATCATCATTGAATTACTGGTAGAAAACTAAAAAAGAGAAAATAGAAATGCCTTTAGGCTATTTGATAGACTAAATGGCTTTCAACATTGTGAATTGTCTAGATTCCTTTTTTTTTTAATTGGTTCATTGTTTAGCATTTTGAATGCCTTGAAGATTATTCATCATACACTTTGGAAAATGTTTCTAGAGAATGTTCTTTAATATGACTTAAATTGAAGTGCTCTAAGATTAGTGAAGTTACTTGCTGAATGGTTATTTTTGTTTCCTCAGGGTGACCTATACTAGGTACCTATAGCTGTTTTGGCAAATTTTCTGCATTTGGTAAGATTTACTACTAAGTATCCTTGTGAACATGAAAACCATACAAGACTGAAACTCTTAATTGATAGGTCACATTTGAATATTGCTTTTCACTGATGTAAGCACAAATCAGGGAATTAGGCTGCAAAGAATGACAGGCCTGTTGGAAGCAAATTGAAAAATTACTTAGACCTGAAATGCATGAGGAAATGGGATTAATTAAGGTGAGTAGACTGGAAAATGCAAATAGCTTATATTCAGGCAGATGAAGAAAGCATTTACTCCTTTATTTGAAAATTACTGGGATTTGTGTTAATTTCTTGTGTGGTTTAAGCTAATCTCTAAAGAAGCCCTGAAATACTAATGTTTTGTAATAGATTCCAATCATAATTGTATACTGAAATCTCCTTTGTTCTTTAGAGTTATACAGCCTTTTAAAAATAGTTAAAAGGATGCTTCTAAAAAAACGAACACATGGATAGGCAGGATCAGAGGAGTGCCACAAAGATGATCAGAGGGATGGAGCACCTCTCTGACAAAGATAGTTTGAGGGAGCTGGGGTTTTTCAGCCTTGAAAAGAAAAGGCTCTGGAGAGACCTCACTGCAGCCTTCCTGTACCTGGAGGGGGATTATGAAAAGGAGGAAGATGGACTTTTTATACGGGCATGTAGTGACAGGACAAGGGGCTGTGGTTTTAGACTGAGAGAGGGCAGGCTGAGATAAGAAACAGGAAGAAACTCTTTGCTGTGAGGGTGGTGAGGCACTGGCACAGATTGCCCAGAGAAGCTGTGGATGTCCCATCCCTGGGAATGCTCAAGGCCAGGTTGGATGGGGCCCTGAGCAACCTGGACTAGTGAAAGGTAACCCTGCCTATTGCATGGAGGTTGGGACTAGGTGATTTTTAAGATCGCTTCCAGCCCTTAGCTTACACCAAACCTTAGATTCTATAAAACCTTTATGGAAAAATAGGTCAAGCTCTTTCAAATTAAAAAATTGAACAGAAACACCCTTATTATGGTTGACCTGAAATACTTAAATGCTATACTGTGATAATACAATCTTTACTGCTGAATATTAGTTGTAGGGCAGGGTATACTGAAATCAAATGTGCATTTTTGGTCTAGATTTTTTTTTTTGTGCTTTGAAGTGATGTAAAACTAGTTTTCAGTGAAACAGGAGAGTGATAGCTTTCCTATTTAGTGGAAAGTTTATAGGCAGAATCTATGAAGTACATCTCTACAAAAAAATAGCTTCACATTTGGAAAACCACAGATAAAAATTAATAGTTAAATTAGTAAAATTAGTAGTTAAGGAAAGCAGTAGTTTCTGTATTAGTAGGAGATGCTCACAGTTGTTAATTTAGCTTTAACTGGTATTCCATTGCTTGTGAGTTGGCTTGTTTGTCAGACTATGGAAAAATAAGATTATTATTTCTCATCCCCAGACCTTGTAGTTCTTTCATCTGCAAGGAGAAGAGTTCTACTCATTTCTCTAATTATAAAGTCTAGTAACCTAACTCGATACATATATGTTTTAAAAATGACTTATAGCTGGGAAAGCATAAGGAAAAGTAGCTGTTGGATACTGCCAAATAAATTTTACTGGTGTTCTTAAGGCATGTCAGCTATTATGTTATTTTTACATTTATACATAATATACATGTTATTTTTGTAGGTCTAATTTATTTAATAAATGTTAGTAATAGTGTTCTTGTTAGATTGTCTTGGGTCATCTCTGTGCTACTTTTCTTACATTTTTCATCTTTTCTGTCAGTTCTGTTCTTTCATTGCAAATTACTGCTATTCCCTCATGTATTCTTTAGCACCTCCTTTCCTCATGTTTCATCTCCTTTCAGTCCTCCATCTTGGTATTTCCTTTAATTGTTTGTTTCATATTCTAATGCACACGTATATATTTCTACTCTCCTGTTGCTACCAGGTAAAAGACAGTGTTCAGTTTTAACATAACTTTTGAAATACCTGTACTGAGCCCAAAAGGCAGAGAACAGATTCGGTGTTTCAGCTTAACACCTGGCTCCTGGAAGGGAAGGGTGATCCCACTGCATGCCCTATCCCCTGGGATTTTGAGTCGTTCATTGCAGTAGATGGTGTGTACTCTGGTGTGTTACTGAGGCTGTTCTAAGCAACACTGTGGTGGAGTAGTTTAGAGATGATTACAGTCTTTGACTTATCAGAGTCCTAGTAGGCTGAAAACCTGGAAGTCTTAACTTTGATGATGAAAGGATGATTTGTAGGTTCATGGAGACATTGCAGTTGTTTTATATTGACCAATATGACTGCTGGGATAAGAGGTGCTAGGGTCCCTGCCTCACCCTTCAATAATAAATGTAAAAATGCCAGTATCATTCAATAGGAAGGCTCCTGGTTTTTTTCAGAACTCAAACAGGATTGATAGAAAATGTGCATCTGCTTCTTGTATATGTATACTCTGTGTTATGCTTCTGGATGGTTTTCTTGGCAAAGGTAGTCCTGCTCATTTAGATGAACACAGAATAAAATTGTAACAGATTAGGTGGTACAAAATGTTTTGATTATATTGTAGTGTAGACAGGTTTATGAGCTTGTAGTTTTAACTCCAGCTGCAAGGTGAAATGAGATGATGAGTCAATCAAAAGGAAAAGCAGTAATGGGAAATAGTGTTTTTCTGCGTTGTTGTTAAACTATAACAGCTACCTTGATGCTATTTCTTTAAGGGCCTCTCAAGGTTTGTTGCAAATTATCCTGTAATTTAATGTTTCCCCTTCCTTTCCATCTTCTTTGAGTCCTGGTTTTCTTCAGATTAAATTTGTCATGTATGGAAGCTGGGCTAGGGCAAATTTGGGGTAATTAAAAAGTTTGTTCTGACTTTTGAAAATATCTCTGCATGTTCATGCTCTGGCAGAGCATAAAACAAAGAAACCCAGCCTGCTGTGTAAGAGTACCTGTGTCAGATTGGTCTGTCTGGCTTTGGTATCAACTTTCTTTTCCAAAGGAAAGCAACAGCTATTTTGCTTTAGGCAGACAGCTTCTGTATAGGTATAATAGGTATTCTTACATACCTATTTCATTTGCAGGCGCTAATAGCAATACCCAGCTTCCCTGGTTCCTCTTGAATTCTAGCCACCTCTCCACAGCCTTCTGAAGAGATGGAAAGATGGTCATGGGTTGCCTTACTTTGTTCTTTCTCTTTTTATCTGTTCCTGAACATCTTTGTTTACTGTGCAAGTAGTCTCTCCTCTGCCCTGCAATGGGCTTCTTAGTTGGAATCAGTCCACGTGTTTACTGCTGAACAGGCGAGTTGTGTTCTGCTCTGACCCCTTGCATCACCCCCTCACAGAACTTCATTTTCCCTGACTTTTTTGGTATGTAAGCTTTAGCTTTGTAAGGTGGTCTTTGGCTTTTATCAGTGATGGCCCTTATCAGCCTGCTCTTCTGTTTATGGATTTTTCAGTCTGAGTGATTCCCATGTTTACTTTTAACCTAAAGTAGAAATTACTGCTTCTATTACTAGAGGATAATTAGGGAGACAACAGAAGATTAAGCTCATAGCTGTTTGAAGACTGCTTGAAAGTCTGTAGTGTCTATC